CAGTATTGTCAGAGTTTAGTATCTTTAAGGATATGTATAGTTATATTTGTATTAGTATTTTGTTTTTGAGCTATGTTATTAATAAACCTGTGTAGAAAGTAAATACTGTTGATTGTTTTAGAAATTTTTACATATTGATCTTTAGAAGAAAATAAACTGAAATACCTACTTTTTACAAAATCCTCAAAAAAAAGTAGAAGCAAGAAGTAAACTAACTTTGTAGCTTTTATGATCCTTGATCTTTGCAGGTATTTTTTATAGATTTTACATTTATATAGAACTAATTTATCTAACTTTGTTATTTATCTGAAAAAAAAACTTTAGCTTTTACTAACTACTTTTTCTATAGTGCTAGAGTACTTTAAACTATTCACATAAAGCTGTGTGACCTCTTTTTTAACTCTATTTCAATATCTAACTATGTATATATAGTACTCTAGAAAGGTTTTTTTGAAGATTAATATATTAACTATATTATTTTCTTGTAGTTCAGCTTCTTGAAAAGTTGGTTCAAATAATCATTAGAGAGAGATGAATGTTAAAAAAATTATATTTAAAAAAGTTTAACTACATATATAAATAAATTATTATTATTTTTTTTTTTATTAAAAACAACTTATATTACTAAAAAAATTTTATTAGTATTTCAAACAGGATTATATATTGATAATCTCTACTATTTGTAATTATATGAAGAGTATACTGTACAATAAGTTACATATATAACTTTAATTATTATCTATTTTAAGTAATCTGCTAAACAGATATTAGGCTACCTAATTAGTTTTATACTATGCTACTATATCTATAACCTACCTATAAGTTATCTATTTAAACACTCTGTTCATTAATCTATACAAATCTAATCTAATATCATTACAATATTTAATTGCTTAAACTAGCTAGCTTGTTACAAATCTATTTATTCAGAATAGTTTAGATCTTTTTAAGATATATTATACCTAACGTATTGTTGATATTGCAAAACTATAAATTATTTATTTTTATTTTTATTAAAAACTTTTGATTTTATAAGTTTTTTAAATATAAATATATTTAGTACTTTTTAAGTATAACTGTTTTAGAACTAATAGAAAAAAAATTAAAAAATTTATATTTAAAAAGATTTTGTATTTAGAAAAAATAAAATTACTATATTTTTTATATAACTAGAACCAAAAATTAATTTATATATATTGAAAACTTTAATAAGAGTTGCACTTAGAGAATGTATACTTAGAGAGATTAATTGTATTTAAAAATATAAATTATATATAAAAATGAAAAATTATAAAAAGTAAAACTAAATTATTTTGCAATCAAACTTAATAAAGTAATTAAAACTTATTTATATTTGAATATTAAAAAATAAAGTTTGTATAATAGTTCTGTATATTAATTTATAAAAAATATTTATTAAAGAATATTATACTAATAAATAAAATTGAATTTTTATACCATTGAATCTACATAACTAACTTTTAAAACAACAAGCCAAGAATTTTGTGTAATAAAAGGTTATGAGAACCAATTATATCGAAATAGCCTAATCTGTATAATTTCCGCATCAACGTGAAAATAATTCATCATATACTATCGTTATTAGTTATGATTAGCTACAATAAAGTTAAAAATGGAAAAGCTATTTGAAATTTTTTTTATAGTTGAAAAGAAAAAAAAAAAGCATTGAAAAGCAGACCCCAAGCAAACACAGACGAAGTTAAATCTTTTGTAAACCTTGTGACTATAATTGGTTAGACTCAATTAACACTTATAGTAATAATATGTTCGTGCGCCGCCTCTTCAACTCCTTTTTAGGATGACACGAAAAAGTGAACAAAAAAGTGTATTGTAGTCAAAAAGAGAAAAAAAAAAAAAATTTCCGAAATTTGTAAAATGGAATCATCGTCTATACATGTGAAGTTTACTACGAAATTTTTTTTTATTTTTTATAGTAATATATTTATTTATACCAATCTATTAAATGCACAGCAATTTACAAAAGGGTTGTGTTTCGCTCATTGACACGTCTATATACATATGTATATATTGATGATACGTAATGTTCGAGCTAATAATGTACAGAAGGCGAATAATAAAGGACAAAATCCTTGAATCTTTACAAAAAAATTTTTTTAAAAAAAAAATAAAAAACCAAGAAAAACAAACAAGAAAAAAGAATTTTATACTACTAATTGAGATCAATTAATTACCGGTAACTGAATGAAATAGACCGATTAACAATTGAAATAACTTTCTAAATTCCACCCAATGTAATTCTTCTTCTTGAGTCATCGATATTTCATCAAGATATCTGTCAATACATTGACCAGTTTCCTTAATAAGGACTAATAAAAACCAATCTGCCGATGTGAAATCGAGAAATCCATCAGTTTTTGTAGTTTCAATTCGACTAATAATTCTAGTTTCCGTACATAATTGTGGCTGTAACCATTGAAGAGCATCTATGAAAGTTTTATAACCATCTTCAATATCAGACCTTAATTCTGAGAGTTCAACCAAATCGCCAGAATCCATATATTTAAGTAAAGTTAATTGGTTGACGAATAATTCGTGATATTTTAAAGTGCAAAAGAATTCGAACTTTACTTCTTGTAAAGCGTATTCAATATCTGTCATAAGTTCAGAAAAGATATCGTCTGAACTATCATTATCAAAATCGTCAACATCAATAAGAAAAGAGACTTTTTCATCATTATCAACACAATTACGATTAGATTTAAAAATTGGTTTTGAAAACCAATCACCAATTTTGAGAAATAATATTGAGACTTTAGTGGCGAATTTTCCAACCACATAGTCTTTAATCCAGACAAAAGTAGAACGGCATAAATGTTGAGACCGTAAAACTAAGTCTGAAAAAAAAAGCATAAACTTTTCACCATTCCCAGCATGTTCCCATTGTTTTTTAAAATATTCCAAATGTTTCTTGTCAATTTGATCAAATGTAGCGTTAACCAGTTGTAACATGAGTTGATCGACCAAGGAGTCATATTTTTCTTTGTAAGAATGAACTTTTTTGTAAGAATTGTTTAATTGGGCGAGTTTTGGTTTAAACAAACTGTAATCTACATCAATCAAGTAAAGGGCAGCAAGTTGATCGACGAGGATTTCATGA